GTCAAATTAAAATAAATGAATGAATAAATAAAATTAAATAAAAGAAGAACCATGGCATGCTGTTCTACGATGATCTATGTAGAGCAGAGTCAGGCTGTCCACACAGGGATGGCACAAACCCTCCTTTTAAAACTGAGGGACAGGGTAAGAACCCCACGCGGTCGGCACGGGCACGGGGCCAGCTCCCTTTCTTAGGGGCAGCACTACCATCTCAGAGCTGGTCCCTAACTTTCTCAAAAAGCATCGGTGACCTTAGTCTTGACAAGAAAATGTGTCTCATCCTGGTTAGATGCCTCCTGGCCACACGCCAAGATATGCCTTCTTTTTTTTTTGAGAGGTTTTTGCTATAGGGCACGTGTGCTCACCAGAAGGACAGAGCCAGAGAGACAGAAAGTGAGAAATCACCCCCCAGAGGGGATGGCCATGCCTCAATCCCTTCTCCTCTATTCTCCTCTCGGGATCTTGGGCACACACGCACACGTGCCCGGCGTGAGTTTAAGTCACTGGGTCCGGGACTCGAACCGCAGTCAACTACATGGGAGTCCAGCGACATAGCCATTATGCTAATTGCTAGTCCCAAGATATGCCTACAATGCGAGTTTGAGAAGCAAAGGCCTATGGACACCAGTTTCACACTCGGCAACTGTCCTCAACTCTTGGCCCTGACATTGGGGCTCCATGAGACTGACTCCACCCCATTCTTCCAAAGGTGACTCTTCTCGATCTCTGGCCCAGCCAACTCGTTGGTTCCCACACCTGCCCCTCTCCACTCCACTTCTGTCATCCCCCCTAGTTCCGTCTGCCTGAAAGACCCCCTCTACACTTCCTGCTTGAACTGCACCCGCTCAGTCCCAGCTCGAGTGTGGCTTCTCCAGGAGGCCTCGGTCCTCAGGCAGGAGCCGGCCCTCATCGCTGCCGTCTCCACAGCCTGCCCTCACCTACCCTCCTTGAGCAGTGCCAAGGACGGTTCCCTACTGCCCGTCACGCAGCACAGGGACCGGGGAAGAAGGTGCTCCGGGAATGTGTCATGCAGGGCCCGGCCCACGCAGGATCTGGAAGGCTTTCCAGAATACGGGACCCCAGAGTAGAGACAGAGTGTGGGAAGTGTCCCTGCGGCCACCTCGGATGTGAAGGTCAGGGGATGGGAACCAGGTACCTCCATCTCCACTCCTCCACTCCCGGGCCTCGTATCTGCATGAGCACAACTGCTCACGGGCCACCTTTACCCCTGTAGGGAAGACCTGCAGGACTGGCGGACAGCACGAGGCACTGGACACTCCCACAACCTGGTGGCCTGCTTTCTCACTTTCTCTCTCGCTCTCTGTCTCTCTGGTCAAATTAAAATAAATGAATGAATAAATAAAATTAAATAAAAGAAGAACCATGGCATGCTGTTCTACGATGATCTATGTAGAGCAGAGTCAGGCTGTCCACACAGGGATGGCACAAACCCTCCTTTTAAAACTGAGGGACAGGGTAAGAACCCCACGCGGTCGGCACGGGCACGGGGCCAGCTCCCTTTCTTAGGGGCAGCACTACCATCTCAGAGCTGGTCCCTAACTTTCTCAAAAAGCATCGGTGACCTTAGTCTTGACAAGAAAATGTGTCTCATCCTGGTTAGATGCCTCCTGGCCACACGCCAAGATATGCCTTCTTTTTTTTTTGAGAGGTTTTTGCTATAGGGCACGTGTGCTCACCAGAAGGACAGAGCCAGAGAGACAGAAAGTGAGAAATCACCCCCCAGAGGGGATGGCCATGCCTCAATCCCTTCTCCTCTATTCTCCTCTCGGGATCTTGGGCACACACGCACACGTGCCCGGCGTGAGTTTAAGTCACTGGGTCCGGGACTCGAACCGCAGTCAACTACATGGGAGTCCAGCGACATAGCCATTATGCTAATTGCTAGTCCCAAGATATGCCTACAATGCGAGTTTGAGAAGCAAAGGCCTATGGACACCAGTTTCACACTCGGCAACTGTCCTCAACTCTTGGCCCTGACATTGGGGCTCCATGAGACTGACTCCACCCCATTCTTCCAAAGGTGACTCTTCTCGATCTCTGGCCCAGCCAACTCGTTGGTTCCCACACCTGCCCCTCTCCACTCCACTTCTGTCATCCCCCCTAGTTCCGTCTGCCTGAAAGACCCCCTCTACACTTCCTGCTTGAACTGCACCCGCTCAGTCCCAGCTCGAGTGTGGCTTCTCCAGGAGGCCTCGGTCCTCAGGCAGGAGCCGGCCCTCATCGCTGCCGTCTCCACAGCCTGCCCTCACCTACCCTCCTTGAGCAGTGCCAAGGACGGTTCCCTACTGCCCGTCATGCAGCACAGGGACCGGGGAAGAAGGTGCTCCGGGAATGTGTCATGCAGGGCCCGGCCCACGCAGGATCTGGAAGGCTTTCCAGAATACGGGACCCCAGAGTAGAGACAGAGTGTGGGAAGTGTCCCTGCGGCCACCTCGGATGTGAAGGTCAGGGGATGGGAACCAGGTACCTCCATCTCCACTCCTCCACTCCCGGGCCTCGTATCTGCATGAGCACAACTGCTCACGGGCCACCTTTACCCCTGTAGGGAAGACCTGCAGGACTGGCGGACAGCACGAGGCACATGGCTGACGTCTCGCCCGATGGGCCGCACAGGGGAGCAGCACCGCAGAACTGACCAACGTGGGCCGCTCAGGCTCACGTGTGGAGACGCCCCTGAGCACTAGGCACAGTGTGCCCGTGATCTTGGGCTGGCTGGGGTGGATTGTGAAATTAAGACTCTTTCCAGGGTGCTCTCTGTCTCTCTCTATTTGACTCATGATGAAGTATAATAAATAAGTAAACTTAGAAAAAAAAAAATAAACAACTCGCGGGACCAGCAGTTAGCGTAATGGCTATGTCACTGGACTCCCACGTAGCCGACCATGGTTCAAGTCCTGGACACAGTGGCTTAAACTCACGCCAGGCGTGTGTGCGTGCATGCCCAAGATCCCGAGAGGAGAATGGAGGAGAAGGGACTGCGACGTGGCCATCACCCCTGGAGGGGTGATTTCTCTCTTTCTGTCTCTCTGGTGAGCGCACACACCCTATAGCAAAAACCTCTCCAAAAAATCATAAATGAATAAATAATGAAACTCCACAAACACAGGGGTTACTGCTGCCCTCATTACCTGGGCGGCTCACACGGGGTCAGGAGGCTCCAGCAGCAGACACTGCGGTCGGCTGAGTGGGGTGACCCTGCCTCACCATTAGCCCCGGCCTGAGAGGAGAGACAGGGCTGCCCCTGAGCCT